GGTCTAAAACAGACGGAATTATCCGACTTTACATAAACATATTGTCTAAAACAGACGGAATTATCCGACTTTACATAACATATGGTCTATAACAGACGGAATTATCCGACTTTACATAAACATATTGTCTAAAACAGAGACGGAATTATCCTACTTTACACAACATATGGTCGAAAACAGACGGAATTACCCGACATTTAATAAATATATTGTCTAAAACAGACGGAATTACCCGAATTTGCATAAACATATTGTCTAAAACAGACGGAATTACCCGAATTTACATAAAGATATGGTCTAAAACAGACGGAATTATCCGACTTTACATAAACATATGGTCTATAACAGACGGAATTGACCGAATTTACATAAACATATGGTCTATAACAGACAGAATTGCCCGAATTTACATAAACATATGGTCTAAAACAGACGGAATTACCCGAATTTACATAAAGATATTGTCTAAAACAGACGGAATTATCCGACTTTACATAACATATGGTCTAAAACAGACGGAATTACCCGAATTTACATAAAGATATGGTCTAAAACAGACGGAATTATCCGACTTTACATAAAGATATTGTCTAAAACAGACGGAATTATCCGACTTTACATAAACATATGGTCTATAACAGACGGAATTGACCGAATTTACATAAACATATGGTCTATAACAGACGGAATTGCCCGAATTTACATAAACATATGGTCTAAAACAGACGGAATTACCCGAATTTACATAAAGATATTGTCTAAAACAGACGGAATTACCCGGATTTCCATAAACATATTGTCTAAAACAGACGGAATTTCCCGGATTTACATAAAGATATGGTCTAAAACAGACGGAATTATCCGACTTTATATAACGTACGGTCTTAAACAGACGGACATCGAATAAAATTATAAGAAAATCTGTTCAGTATTTTAGAAATTAATATAAATATATAAATTAATTTGAAAACATTGACAAATGATAATCGAAATAATGTATCCAGTTTTTTTATTGTAGTTTCATCTTTGTCATACTGTATAACTAAACAACTATAAGAAATATTTAAGGATTTTTAAGTATGTTTAAGTTTAAATTACAAATTAATTTACAACACTTATATCTTCAATACTCACGGTTGTCTGTTCAGTGTAGATTTGTAGCACCGAATGGAGCTGAGTTCACGCCCGATACTATATAAAGCCTACATCCCACTCGATCAGAAATATCGGTATCCGTCGTTAATCAGTGTAATCGCATCGATTGGATAACCCCAGGCTTGTTATTGTTCAGTGACGCACTGCCATGAAAATTAATATCTATAATAAAGATAGCATCATCCGTATCATTGACCTGTACTTCTGATAACAAGATAAGGAGCGAGACAGTCCCATTATAATGGAAACGGTCACAACATCGCCGACATTGTTCAAAACAATAGTTGTCTTACATCAACAACAACAACACCAACGCCACCACCACCCCCACCACCACCACAAATAACAACAAAAACAACAACAACAACAACGACGACGACGACGACGGTGGCGACAACACCACCACCAACAACAACAGCAACAACGACGACGACGGCGACACCACCACCACTACCACCACCACCACCACCAACAACAACAACGACGACGGCGACAACACCACCACTACCACCACCATCACCACCACCACCACCACCACAACTACCACCACCACCAATAACAACGACGACGACGACTACTACGACGGTGGCGACACCACCAAAAATGATTGCGATAAGAATAACACCACCACCAACGACGACGATGACGACAACAACAGCAAAAATGACGACGACGACGACATAAACGAAAATTCACAGCATAGCATCAAAGATTTGAGTTTATATGAAGAATTTTGTAAAGAATATCATTGGTTGGAATCATGCTTGTGGCGTTACTCTCCCGAACAAAAATGTAGAGAAATAAATACCCCGTAATAATAAACCAAGCGAGCGTTCTATAAACACCGCTCAGAAATAGATACCGCTGGTCTCCGATATAGATGAAGCACTGAACACATTTCTATTATTGTGCATTAAACTTCAAACATACATAAAAACATGAAATTATAAAAAAAAATAATAAAAAAGACAAAACCCAGATTTTCTATAAATCAAGTCCGAGAAAACAAGAGGATAACTAATCACAAAGTGTATAAACACGTAAATGAAATTGAGAACATATGTACCATTAACTGAGAGCGTAGAAGTAGATACAATCTTTGAGTCGCTCATTGATTGATGTTTGAACCGTGGATCAGCTGATTAAACCGGGAGTTAATAGGAGTGTATGGTTCTATATTATTATCTACCGATACAACACACCCAGTCATTAATTTGATAACTCAATCAATGCAGTCAATTAATAAATTGTTTCATTGATTTCTATAGATTGACAAAGTGCTTAGGGATATTCAGCTTTATACGACGATGTCAGTGAAAGCTAGTGGTATTGTGTATGTCGAAGCTTAAGAAGTCTAACTTTTACGTGTGTGTCTATATCTAAGGTTAGCATCGTTATTATTTTTTCTTTGAAAATATCTGATAGACACAATGTTCGAGTATAAATAAAGATTGATGAGAAAGGAAAAGTCGCTAGTATGTTGGATTAATCAAGGTGTAAAAATAGCGACCAACATTTACTACATATTTTGTAGTGATTGTAGTTTTATTAATGACTTTGTTTTCGAAATGATAAATTTCTGTCCATAGGAAATAACAAGATATACATTTTAATTCGCTGTTTGTCATCCAATAGAAACGGAGAAAAACAAAAATAGAAAAAATATTGATTAGGAACAATGCATTGGAATATTCATTTTAATTGACAATTATGTTGAATATATGGTTTATGGTCTCTCCCCCCCCCCCCCACCTCACACACTATTTTTTTTTTATAGAAACGCTGCTGATTTCATATCGATCTTGTTTCTAACGAACAACAGATTGTGTCTTACCATACAGTGCACCATGACTGATTTCCTAAATACCGAGCACTGAAGTTTGGAAGACAGTTTAAGATGTTGGAAGAGGTTATATCCGAAGCGCTTATATATACCGATGTGACACAAAATAAATTAATCAGCCTTCAAAGTTGACATACTTAAATCATTTTGAGTCATTTTTCTTAACATTAAACGCTATGTCCAATGGAATCGTTAAGTATAGATGCAAGCCATTATGATCCGGGTCCTCTGATCCTTTATATACAAAGTTACTGGTTCTAAATGTTACGCTAAATACTGCCTCTCTGATAATGCTTTTACTAAAGGTCTTATAAAACAGATTGTAAATTATGAAACAGACTAAAATATGAACAAAAGAATGATCAATACAGTGACACCTGGAAAAGTACCTCGATGATAAGATCAGGTGTTCCGGAAAAGTAAGCGTCTTGTGCTTCACCAACGACATCAACCATCTAAATATCAGTCAGTCCAAGTAAGTTATAACACGTTCAATTATATATCGTAACATTTCCAATTGAGACCATATCAAACGTTAAATCACTGGTCCACGAAATCAATTCTTAATTCTAGCTTCTTACCTCCATTCTTTACACTAAAATAAAAAAATCTACATAGCTGTTTTGTCACGAAGACGTATATCTGTGTAAACGACAGAGCCTTGGTTCGTTTCACCTGCGCTCTATCGGGTCATCGAGTGTTGTAAAGATGAACATATATAAATTGAAAGTAAAGCCAGAAAAGTCCATGTGATTTTAAGTTCAAACGAGTCCAAAATTCTTGTTGTCCTAGCTGCACTGACATTCTTTTGTGCTATATTGTTTTTCCTTTCACCGAATCGAAATGAAACCGAAAATTGAGTTGAAATGAAAAAATGTGAATCAAAACTTATTTTTCTAAAAGATGAAACTTCAAGATTGGAGTCAATTCTGTCAATTCTGTCTCTGGGCCGCCTGGTTCTGTATGTCTGTACCAATGTTGCTAACATGAGGGGTCTAGAACAGGTCAAGGGTTACCCCCAGGTACAGGTACTTCTTATTCGGGATTACCTGTACTGATTTCTGATGGAGATGGAGTGACGTTATTTGATGTCCTAATGACGAAGCATTTAGCAGCATTTAAATTAATTTGCCAGGTAGTTTGCCATTTCTGGAGGTTTACAAGATCTTGCTGGAGTTACTCCCCCTGACCTTAACTGTATTAATAGGTCTCTAAAGGAAAACCGGTAAAGAGACGAGCGTCCAAAACGTACAGAGGTGAAGCGGAGGCGGCCTGAGAACTGAACCTTGCGGAACGCCGGATCCACCTAAAGAGAAGAATTGGTATCGTTGGTAAGGGCCTTTTGTTGTCGATGTAGAAATAAGGAAAACGAGCGAAAGGAGTCGTTGCGGATAACACAGCAGTTAAGATTGTGTAAGGCGTTGGTGGAAACCTTGACGAAAGAAGAATCAAGGAGTAGTGTGTCAACCTGTATGCCATATTAAATATTGTTATTATTTTATATCATCATCTCGAAGAGTTGTTATGAACTGTAATTTGTGTGATCGTTTGCGTCTAAAACCATGTTGGAAGTCAGTGAGATTGTTGTGATTATCTAGACGTTTCATAATGTTGCGATCTTCTCATGACAAAATAAACATGACAAACACGAGTAAGCCATCTATTCTAAATTTTATCATGTAGTTTCAATGAACGTGAATAGATGGCATATAGTTTTTTTTCAAAGTATTGGAGTGAATTTGGTTGGTATAGATTTGTCAGTAAGGGAGGTAACGCCATGTTTAAAACATATACACGAGCTTTTCAACTGAAGGATTTACCGGGGAGAGCATATTATTTGCATCTTTTTATCTGGTTAGGTGCATATCAATAATACAATGTTTACAACATACTATACACAAGCTTGTATAAACAGCGAGCAGTCTTAAAACAAAAGCGAAAGTAGACGGACGGAAATGGAACTCTCCAGTTTGAAAGTTATAAAATTCATTAATGCTTCATCATGGCTGACAACGTGAAGAAAGACCAAATAAGTAAATTTATACAGTTAACAGGCACCGACACCGATAGAGCTCAGTTCTATTTAGAGTCATCGAACTGGAACTATGAGGTAACTGGAAGTTATGCACATGTACTGTCCTCTGGCATTGGGATTGATACTTCATTTCCGTTTGTATAACTAGTGAACCGTTGAACAGTTACTGCCTTCTATTGAATGAAGAGGAGATGAAGCACCATCAAATTTGACTGTATACTGAACACAGACTTGGCCGTATGGCATATTCTGATTACACATTTATGGGAAAATGTAAACAAGAGAGCCATACACATCGAACAAATGGATATCGAATCAAATGTTTTGGCGAAGAGAGAAAAAAAATGACAAGAGTCATTTAGACACAATTTCAAATTGATTGCATGCTATTTTTTGCACCGAAACAATATACTCAAAGCGCACATAGGACTCAAATATGAATCAAATGAATGCTTACTTGCAAACAAATTGGAAGGATAGAATTTTAGCAAATGCCTCAAATTGAGCAGATTTGAAAATGTGCCATAACTCATTCTAAGCACAGGAATGTTCAGCTTTTCAAATGCCTGAATACCACATTCTGGTATGAGGTCATAATGATCATCAATTTATGAAGTTTAGTGAATGAAGTAAGCCTTTCAAATTGTCATAGCATTGCTTGCTGCAATAGGGTATCTACTTCCAAGTTAATTGAGTAAAGATCCATTCATTACATACCTCGATCTAGGACACCATGTTGTTTATTAAAAAGTTGATATACTTAGCACATGACTAGAAATGTACATGAACTGTAACATCTCTGATGAATTAACAACTTCATTGATGAAACCTGGTTTTATATCTGTATTTGACAACTGAAATACCTCAAAAATGATGACAAAGCATTTTATTGTCTGCCATGAAAGTAATTTCAAGATCAGAATTGTTTGTTTATGTTGCTACAATGTTTACAGTGATTTCCTGATTGTGTTCCATAGGCATCTAGTGTGTTGTATATGATGCTGCATATACATTTTTTTTATACAAATACAAGGCTAATGTGAAAATATGTAAATGTAGCAGTTTTTACAACATGTGAAAGTGCATGAAACATGGAATAACAAATTAATTGTACACAGTAGGATTATTGATGTGAAATGACCAGTGTGTCAAGGCTACAAGCTTTCGATAATCCCATATGTATACAATGAGTACTATAACAATTACACATGTTTCTGCGAAAAAGTACATGTTGTATACACTTTTTCCAACCTGGGTCATGCTTAAACCTGGCTTGTAACAGGCAATCTTAGTACTTTAAACAGCCCTAGTTTATAGTTTTTGAATTGTCTGGTTAAAACATCTGATTTTATTGGTAAAATAACTTAATTCTATACAGTGAAATCTCTATTCCTCTTCACTTCAAAATTCTGAAATTTGCTTAATACTTTTCTTAATACAATTTCTATTCATTTAACTACAGATGAAGAATCAAGATAGTGTCTAAATGGAAAAGTGTCCCTCTTTACATTTCAGCAAAATAAGTTCTCTTTTAGACATTTATCACAATATTAACATTTTTGATAAACATCTATGGTAAGTTTTATGATATAGGCAATGAAGTATCTTCTTTTGCAATGATGAAGAAAACATGGCAGTGAAACTTAATATTTGTGGCAGGTTGCTGTAGCTAGCTTTTTTGACAATGATGATGGAGATGATGATCTGTATGAAGCTCCTTCAGCACAGCCTCAACCACTGCCGCCAAAGTCTACACAGCCCTCAGAATCTTCAGCAGCAGCATTTCCACCCTCCAGCTCACGAAATTCCAGGTATCAGCTTAATCATATGTAGCAATAAGACTTATAATCTTACTACTGCTTTACTGGATGAGATTTTATATAGATTTATACTCATTTAGTTAGTCAAGCAATCACACTTACAGTTAACAAGATTAATATCTTTGAAAACTGTCTGTATGACAGAGTATAAATTCATGCCTCAAAGCCTAGTAATGATGCATGGTCACCATTTAATAGTGTTGTCTAAGTGTATTTGATATTCTCCTCATAAGTTATGTATCTTGTGGTACCTTCTTGTGAAGTTTTGACTCTACTTTGTTGGTTAACAGTGCATTATAACTTTTGAAATAAATTGTTTGCCCCAATACAGGCAGAGTTATGTCTCATAGCTAAATTTTAAGCCCATCATCATGGTCCATAGTTGGTACATCTGCTTTTCTGGAGAAGTCGGGAATGGATCTTTTTCGAACCTCATATGTAGGTTTCCCTTGGTCTCTAGTTGTGCATGTTCCATTTTGGGACAGATCTGAAAAACAACATGTGATCATCTTTTGTTGGGAGAGTAGTGGATTGTTATAAGTATTTCTGGAGAAGTGTTTGATGGGTCAGTCAGACTGATCAAATAACAAGATAGCTGACAGGCAGCCATCATGGTTTCTGACAGGCAGCCATCATGGTTTCTGACAGGCGTAATTTGATATTTAAAGATGATTATTGCTATTTCTTAAAGGAATTCTCAAATTTCATATAGATAAGAGGAAAGAATAAAAAAGAATGGAAAAGATACAACTTTTAAAGAATAAATGAAAATCAAACAATGTCGGGCACCAAAATCAGTCTGGGATCTCTATTTTATTCTATAAATATATGTTTTTTTATATGAAGGACTTTGGATTGCAATATTTTTCTATTAGTTTTCCCAGCTTAGATTGCAGGACGAGGCAGAAGTGACAATTTTCTTGCCAGAGAAAATTGATTGTTTTTAATATCCTAAATTTAGCTCTGGATCTTTTTGCTGTACACATGGAATGATAGTTTGTAGAGACCATAACTCTGTACATGTTTACTTCATTGATGATAGACTAAGTATATCTAGAGATTTTTATGTCTGAAACAGACTTGGTAAATACATTCTATGTCTCTAAAAGATACTCTTTATCACTAAAAGATGATAATGAACCATTAACCACATATAAAAGGGGGGATCCACCATCAACTCACATGTCATCAAAATGATGATAAGATTTTGGACATGGTTAGAAAATTCCCCTTTGAAAACTTTGCTTACAGATTTGCCACAATAGGAAATTACCAGACTCAAGAAAGTTCCTCATCAGAGGAAGATGAAGGCCAGGCCTTTTATGCTGGGGGTTCTGAAACCAGGTAAGATATTATCATACATAAGTTTCTCTGAAAGACAGAGGACGAATTATATCTGGAATAATTTTTCTTCCTGTGAAATTTAATTTACTTACTGTAATTTTATTTTTACCACATTTAAACCATAATTTGTATATTATTTAGTATCAACATTCATGTATGGTATATATAAAATTCCTTTCGTGTTACTTTCTATCTCTGTGTACACTTGACTGGTCATTTGTCTGACAAATGAGAGAGGTTGCAGTCAAGTCAAGCTGATGAATGAAACTGGTTGTAGTCAAGTAATGATACCCCTTCAATTTCTAACTGGTTATTTTAAATTCATTTAAAGTTGTATAGTTCAAAGTTTCTGCTCTAGTGACTTAGTTTGATATATCTAGTAGAGGAAGAATTTATCTGTTGAACACAATAAAAGTATTCATACATGTACATGAATCATTATGTAAATGTTTTGTTTCATTTAACTTCCAGTGGTCAACAGATTATTGGTCCAAAAAAACGTGATGGGAAAAAAGTGGTGGATAATCTATTTAAATCAGCAAGAGAGTAAGTGTTTGTAACATTAATCAGACTAACTGTAAATGGCTTTCTGGTTCAAACTTTATATCTTCATGTAATGTAGGTAACAAACTTGTTGTTTCTCAATACTGTGTGCTGCCTCATGTTAAAACACCCATCATAAGCTACATATAATGCTATATTTATATATCATATATACATATATCTTCCTCTCTACATAATTGGAAATCTACAAGTACAATAATTTATAGTATCGAAAATTTCTGTTTGAAAATAAAATAAAGATGAGGTGATTCAGAAATCCTCTTGATGAAATATCACTGAGAAGAAAACCAAGTATTTGTGTTTAGAATCTTATCCTACCCCAGGGATTGATTGGATTGATATACCAGTCTTGGCATCTGAAGAAAGCAACCTTTGCAAGTTACATATCAGCATCCTGTGAAGATCTTAAACTATTTTATGTCAGTAAGCAGGAACATAACCAATAGCAGCATTAGTAATATAAATGTGTATAGTAGCAAAGTCAGGAGTTTTGATGCCTATTTGTTTGGGTAGACATGGTGCTGAGGAGGTTGATAGGTCAGAGAAAGCACCAAAAAAGAGTATGGCATTTAAAGGTTCAGGATACCGACTGGGAGAGACAGAGGATGGACCAGCTGACATAGTACAGGGAGCCCCCATACAGTCAAGTCCTAGACAGGTGAGAAAGTGCTGAATTTTAAATAATTCAAATTAAAAGAAAGGTTTATCTGTATAAGACAAGTCCCAGACAGGTGAGACAGATTATCTATACAAGTCAGGTCCTAGACAGTTTACCTGTTACAGCCAGGTACAACAAGTTCCAAACATCCTTTTTTGGGGATGTTGTGATGGTGTAATGGATTTGCAATTATAGGGTTTCATCGCTAGATGATTTGGTACTGTATATCATGATTTCAAGGCCCATACAGGACAAGAATAAAACATTTTTGTTTCTTTATCAATTGTGTTACAATATCTAAAATACCCATGAATTAACAGAATGCACCATACATGTATACTGTAATGTGGTTGATCTGAATAATCCAGATTTTGATTACCTGTCATAGTTGTTACATAGTTTAATGTATGCTTTATTTGATATATAAACAAATGGTTTGTCAGTATTAACTAACAGGCCTCTGCTTTATTCAAGAAATATTTCAATGTTTGTATACCCCTGCTTACTTAAGGGGAAGAGGTACATATATATAGTAATCTGTAATCACTTTGTCTGTGTGTGTATCCGTCCACAAGTGAGTTCTCATTAACAACGTGTACAAGATATCTCATGAACATCTGAACAGGTTTTTATTCCACCATAGCATCACAACACCAATGTCTACACCTGATTAGATTTTGGTGGTTATTGGTCAAATGTAAAGCTCAAAGGTTGAAAAGGTCACTTTGTTATCTAAAGCTTATGAAAAAGTTTTCTCATGAATTCCAGAATAGATTTAGTTCAAATTGACACCATAGCATCATACTGCCAAGATTTAAACCTGATTAGGTTTAAGTAGTTTTTGGACAAGGTTAAAGGTCATCAGAGTTAGAAATTTAGGTAAAGTTAGATTTATTAGATGAAAGAGTATTTATTAAATCATCTGCTGTATATCGGATGTTGTACAGCTATCAAAAGGTACCTTAAGCAGCTGTAAAAACACAATCATTATAGTGAGCTCTTTAAAAGAAAGGTTCAAACGTTCCATCAACATTAAACTGAGTTCCTATATATAAAAGAAAACATTCTATGAATTTTGTATTAAGAAATCTTAGATGATCACAATTTAATTTGTATATTTGTTTCATTGCTTCTAGGTTGATATGGTGCTTAAATTGTGGAAAGATGGTTTTAGTGTGGATAATGGAGAATTGAGGGACTTTCATAATCCCACAAACAAAGAATTCCTTGACTCTGTGTCAAGAGGGTAAGACACCAGATATGTCATACTAAGTAATCTTGAGGCTTTGCACTGGTCAATACTTTTATGAAACTGTAAAAGTGAGGCTTGTAGGTATTTCTACCTGTAAATTCTTGTTATGCATTGTAATCATATTAAAGTTTTAAAGTTTGCACAATATCATACCAATGACTGAAAGAATGAATTCAAACATTAAAACATTTGCTGTCTGTGTTACTTTGTGTGTAGATGATGTATAGAATGTGCAGATAACCCTAAGTAATTACAAAAGTTTTTCCGTTTGTCATGTGAGCAGAATGTTATGTAATTTGTTAGTGATAGTAACATCATGTGAAAACAATGTAATTTTCCCTCACAAACAAATGACACAACAATCAGTACAAGCTGACAAGAGCAGAAAACTCTGAATTATGAAAAGACAGAAAAAGAAACTGTAATTTCCATTGGAACCAGTATCAAATTACTGAGATAAAATTAGCCCTTTTGATTCAAGTCTACTAGATTTTAAATAAAACGTTAAAAATATCATAGTGATCTTTGCTTATCAACACATAAACAAATATCTAATATATGCTGCATGTTTTGGTAGAGAAGTCCCACAGGAGTTGATAAGGCTTGCCAGAGGTGGGGAAGTGAATCTGAACATGGAAGATCATCGGCAGGAGAATTATGTGAAACCAAAGGAGGCCACAAAAGCTTTCTCTGGTCATGGAAACATGCTTGGCAGGTGAGTCATTGTGAGTCCCACCTAGGGGAGGTCACATACTGGGCAGGTGAGTCATTGTGGGTCGCACCTAGGTGAGGTCACATACTGAGTAAGTGAGTCACTGTGAGCCACACTTAGGAGAGGTCACATACTGGGCAGGTAGTTGATATGAGTCAAACCTAAGTGAGGTCACAAATTGGGCTGGTGAGTCCTTGTTGGTTATACTTAGGGAGGTCATGTATTTGGCAGGTGAGTCAGTGTTGGTCACACCAAGGGGAGGTCACATACTTGTCAGGTAGTCAATTTGAATCATATCTAGGGGAGGTTAGTCAGTGTTGGTCACACTAGGGGATGTCACAAAACTGTCAGGTACTCAATGTGAATCATATCTAGGGGAGGTGAGTCAGTGTTGGTCACACCTAGGGGATGTCACATACTTGTCAGGTAGTCAATGTGAATCATATCTAGGGGAGATGAGTCAGTGTGGTTCACACTTGATTGACTTAGTCAACTATGTTGACGTTGTCATCCTAAATATATCACATCAAAAAAATGTGACAAAAGGAAGAAAATTAAGTACAATAAATTGTGTCTACCAGTAGATATTTGTAAAATACTGGCCATTCAGAAGTGTCATATCTTTCTATCATTCCATCCTTACTTTTACCTAATTGAATACAATGTTTAAGATAACCATTAAGATTTGTTGACTTATTCATAAAAAAAGTTATCCCAGATTTACCATAAATCTATGTAATTTAATAGTTTGGATAGTGTGTGGAAAAATCTAACAACATAAAGGTAGATTCTAAGTTCTAAGCATTCTTTAAGTTTAAAGTAAAATGATTGATTTGTGGAACATGTGACAAATACTTTTGTTATAAAGCTTGTTTTCACCTGTGTAGCCCTGCACCTAACATAGCTGTAGCCTCCGCCGCAGCAGGATCAGCAGCCGCAGCCTCTCGTAGCAGTGTAAATGTCGACCAGTCTCGTCCTACCACAAGTCTTCAGATTAGATTGGCAGATGGGTCGAGGTAAGAACTCACATACAGATGGGAAAACTGCATGTTTGAAGGTTTGGTGCATTTTGAAATTTATGTTATTTCATTGAAACTAGTAGACAAATACAAGGGGTTGAAATAGATTTAAATATAGGGGGATCCAAGTGAAAGGTTTCTCCTTAATTTTCCGTTAACACTCACTGTATATAGGGAAAGTTCTCTCGCATTTCTGGCTTGCTTTAATCTTTAGACAGATTAGGTGGAAATGAAAGTTTTGGCTGAAGTTAGATGTGACGGTTGAAATATACGGCTTTGTGAACTTTACAGTGAACTGTGGTTGAAAGTTTCCCAGTATATTGATGTCCATAATTCTAATTTAGTAATTACTGTGTAATAGTAGAAGCTTGCCTTGTTACACCAACAAATCAAGTGGTATAGAATATGTGTGATGAATTCATGAGGATGAAGAAGTTTTGTCGCAGCTATCACACACTGCTGTAATGAAGCAGTTTTGTTACAGCTGTCACACTGCTGTACTTAAGGAGTTTTGTCACACCCTGTTGCACTTTAGTAGTTTTGTCTTAGCTGTCACACTTCATTCACTTTATCTCAGCTGTCAAACATTGCTGTACTTGAGTTTTTTTGTTTCAGCTGTCACACACTGCTGTATTTTTATTTGTGATGAAGCACGCTGTAAGTCAGGACAGGTCTTACAGGGAGATAAGAAGGAGAATAGATATCATAAAAATATAGCATTAAATTGTATGTGAGAAGCTAGCTGAAGTTCTTTCTTGCACACATGCATTTGTAGTTGTAGTTGCTTGTTGTACATCTCCAGTTTATTTTTGTATTTCTGTATTAGCTTGTTATTGTCTTCTTCAGTTTTGCGATAAAGAATGTGTGTACTGTAAGCTTGTGTAGGTCCTGTTTCAACTTATTAGTTGGTATTTTCCATTGCTTTGACATATTTTCAAAGGTATTAGTGTTGTTGTAAAAGGAGTTTACCCAGTTATCTGTAGCTTTGATGTATTCTCTGACTTGAAAAAAGTAAATTTTCAATGTCTAATTCCTTTTTGAGGAATGCTATCACTAAGCTCACAAAGAATATGGCCTTTATGAATAGAAGAAATGCATTTCAGATAAGCAAGGTTTTGACATTTTTCACAATTAAATTCCAGTTTTTTCCCCTTACAATGAATACAGGTTGTCTGACCTTTCAAACAGAAAGAATGTGTGGAGTTGTCATTTTGATGAAAATTCATGTTTCATCACATCTTGAAGCTTTTTGTTGTAGAATGTCACTTCATTGTCATCACCTTAATTAATGACATTGCCAATGATTGCCAAGGATTTTTCTGAATCAGGATATTAAATGTACATGTCATAGTCACATTTGTCACATGGTTACTGTGATGAAGATGTCAAGTTTACTCATACCCAGCATTTTGATAATAACTAAATCCAGCTTGGAATTCACAGACATATTAGGTTCTAGCTGTTTTTTCATGTCTGTTCAGAAAATTAAGATGAATGAGACACAGACAGGTAAACCAATTGTTCATGTTCTTCAGGTGTAGATTTTCCTATTGTATTTTTATTGCTCTGGCAGTTACATCAGTAAATCTTAACTTTAGGATCTTGTTGATAAACTTGAATATTTATGTTACTGATCTGTTAGATATAAGAAAATAAAAAGAGATTCAAAACAGAATTTAACTAATCCATCTGACTGGTAACTAATGTAAAACATGGTCAGATCTGGGTATGTACACACTATGCATCTCTCATGAAACAATTTTTGCTATTTGCTGTCTTGTGAAGTACTTGATGGAATTTTTGTATATATATTTACCATGGTGTTCAGTTGTGCAAGTTCAGTTTTTGGTAAAAAAGTTTGGATTTTGACAATGAAATTTTGACAATGTTATATATGGAGAAGATTTGAATGGTTCAGTCGCAAATTTCATGTGAATGTCCTCCTTGGTTCCTGGCTGTGCTATTTTGATGTATAACTCATCAGAAAGCAATATGACTGACAGTGAACCATCTTGGATTTTGGTGATGAAACAAGATTGCTATTTTTGGAGGACTTAATTGATCTTTCTTCAGTTTCATATAAATATTTTCTTGGTCCTTTGTGATGATCATTCAGATTTAAGGAAGATTGATGAGCATTAATGATTGGCTAACAAGTGGCCATTTTGGATTTTGAAGATGAAAATTTGTTATTGTTATTGTTCTTAAATTGCTCTTGTGCATTATGTAGGTTTCTATATGTTGGTGTTCCTTGTTTATTGATTATCATAAGGAGAAATAAAATAATGTTAGGGAAAATATTGTACAAAGAAAACAAAATACAGATGATAGAATGGTGGGTGCCAACATCTGTTGTAAAGTGTAATAATTTGAAACTTGTATTATTTTTTGTATTTAGTGGTGGTTTAACTGACATCCTTATTATTTACTCCCATTAATCTGACTAATTTTAACCTCTTTGTTACAGAATGGTGGCCAAATTTAACCACACACACAGAGTCAGTGATATCAGACAACATATAGTAGCGTATCCTTTTTACTGTATGTCTTAAATCAGGATTTTATTTGATTTCAATTTTTGCTCAGGAAGAGTGCGTGATTGACAGTACTTTACTTCAGTAAAGTGTTCTGGTTATTGTCTCTCATGAAAGGTGTCGCAAAGGAAGGTTTAATGTTTGTGTTAAATTCCAAATCATTCTATTAAATACAAATACAGCTACTTTATGATTATTTATCAGCATGTCACTTCTTAGTACGTCTTTTCAATGAAGATTTTAATGTATATCTGACAATTAATTGGACTTTGTTAAGTAACTTTGACTTTTTGAATTAAACGAGACTCAAACTGTATTTGTTTCCCATGGCACGACAAGATAAAAATCCATGAAAGCCAAACTCAAAGGGTGATAACTCTTTATTGGAATTGAAGATAACACAGAAATTTAATTTTTTGTCTGGAACATGTGTATCTTCAGTACATAATCTCTAGACATTTCAAGGAAACCAACGGTAAAGCAAAAAAATTGTTAAAATTTCTAAAACCAAAGGTCTTTATCAAAATGGCCTAGTAATAATAGGAACTTATTTATTGATTTGTAACATGTTATTACAAAACCACAAAGCCTCATTCCAAATTTTAGATAAAAACTTTGAAAACATTTGATGCTGCAGATAAAGAGAGTAACAGGTGAAAGTTTAAAGTATCCCCAGCCCACATTCCATCCTCGATACTTCAGGGATTATGTTAACTATCACTCCCTGTACCCCTTTAACATTTCATGGCAAATTTGAAGAATGTTCAGGGGAAGTAATTTGATTGATCTAGAGCAGGTGTCAGGAGAATGAAACTGACCAATCACAGACTGATACACTTCTTTGAAGATTACAAAGGAGCAACACCTAACTTCAAAGCCATTACAGTGTTCTGTTATGTGATCGAAACTCGTTATATATACAATAGAGAATCAAATTACAGGTAGTTCTTTTGTCTTATCCACAAGGTGTCTCACACGGAACCTGTAATGTTTTTAATGAAATGATACAGGGGTGCCAAGAACGATGTTAAATATTATCCCTAGAATGTTGAGGATGCACTATCCCTGCCCCATCCTTGCCACAATCCTGCACCTATCCCCAGGTTCATCAGAAGAGAATAAATACCAAAATATTTGTATTCCATTTCTCTCACTAACATCACTGTTAATATGTTTCAGTTTGGTGATATCACCATCATTATAAAAGATTCAATTTGATTATATATGTAATATTCCCAGTAATATACTATGGATCTGTCTATTCCTTAACTACTGCCAGAAATAATCCACAGTATGCAGGTGCACAATTTGTTCTCATGACAACATTTCCAAATAAGGAGTTAACAGATGAAACTCAGACACTGGAGCAAGGCAAACTTTTAAATGCTGTGATAGTACAAAGACTGAAGTGAATGTCTATTTATGTGTATTAGTGTACTTAGTCATTCAGTCACTACGAGAGACCAGGACTTTGGATTCATTTCTCTCTGTTCACAGAACTATTCATCAGATAAGAAACTTTGTATTCCCAAACAACAGACCTGTTGTTAAATTTGTTTTATATTAAAATGCCTCTTGTGTTAAAATAACATGAGATTGTACAGGTCTCTCATATCTAATGGTGTCAGTCTATCAATGTTAGTACAAGTATTCAGCAGCTTTGTAGCTTTTTATATGTTTTCACAAAATAAACAGGAAGTGATATGGCGGTTGTGAAAATGTTTGTGAAAGGTTTGAGAGATGGCCTCAGTAGTGATATATACAATTAGTGGTGATAATTAGGTTCAATTGATATCATCATTTATGCTGACGTATACATGTGTGTATGTTACTGTAAAATTGTTTTAAAAGTGTAAATGAAGCAAAGCTGTGAAAGAACTGATTTGAAAGATTCATGTATCTCTGTCAACATTTAAGGAGGAAACCTCACATCAGATTGTTGGACATATTTTTGATGTTCCTTAGTTCTGTACAGACTATTATCACATGTAGATCAATTACGTTTTATTCTATTTATTGATAAATAGTGATAGGGCATGAATCCTGAACAAAGTATACAGAAGTCAGATCTGTATACTGAGAACCTATGTTCTCAAAGCTCTTGGAATACAGGGATGACTTTGTCCTGTTTATTTCATTAAGGGATAACCTGACTTGATGTTAAATGATTTAGCCTAGGATCATCTGTGTGTATTGAACTGTGCCTACCAGCTACTGAAAGTCCTACCAAGACCTTTGATATCTGGAATCTGGAAGCTCTCTGTGAAATCCTGGATCATCTGAAACTGAACACTAGGATCACGGCACAAATTTTGCTACCCAAGTATACCCAAAAAATCACCGGCTGTATCTCTTCCCTGTCTGGACGTTTGGTGAAAAAGTTTCAAATTTGTTGTATGGAATAAATAGTTTTGCTTTAATTTAAAACATGTTGTCATGATTATTTAAAGACAGTTGTCTTTTAAAACCAAATACTGTAAAATAAGAGATTATTGTGGGACTCAATTTTCCTGATTTGTTAAAAAAAAAAATCATAGATACTTGATTTTGTTGACAAAAATAGCTCAATATATCTTCTTAGGCTAATTTTAACATTTCGTGAACATATCAATTCGTTTATTAAAAGGGCACCAACAAAATGAACGAAAATAAAACACTTCCAAAATAAATGATTTCACAGTAATTGGAATACCACTATTTTGATATTTTTTGTACTTTGTTACTCTCAGCCATGCTGGGCAGAATGCTTAGTTCTGCGGCATATAAATTGGTAGTGTTCATCCTAACATTTTATTATACTATATAATATACATCTCTTAGAATGGCTTTTCAAATCACTACATGTCCATGGTCTGTGGTCTGTCGGTCTATCTTTGGTCTGAAAACGTCTTTTTATCGTTATATCTTGAGAGGAACAGGAGAGATCTTTATCAAATTTCATAGGAGGTTCCCCTTGTTGGCAATGTTTATTTACACTATTTTTGAAAAGTATGACGAATCCTTCCCGACATTCCATTTGAATGTTCTTCCTGACCTCTGTGCCGTTTGATGTCTGATAAGAAAACATCTATTGGGTAACCGGTTGCCATCGTAGATGGATCTTTCTCAAAGTCTTATGTATGTTTTCCCAACTCCTTAGTGGCGCATTTTAATTCTAAGGCTGATCAGAAAAATAAAATCATCGTGTGGAGTCCATCTTGGATATTTTTAATGAAAGCTTGTTAGCGCTATTTCTTGAGAAGTTAAGAGAGACATTTTATCATCTGTAGGTTCCTCTAGGTACCTAGTACTGTGATGCCTTTTTATGCCTTTGATGCTTGAGTAATAAGTTTGATGACTTGTTAGGCATTTAGAACGGTTCCCATTCAAAATTGTATGGAAGATAATGTTACAATGATACTATCAATCATATACAAGAAGATGAAAATTCAAGGAAAAACTAAAAATAGTCACGGGCAAGGAACCCAAATGTTTTGTACAAACGATGATAACTTGGTAAAGAAAAAAATCGGAACAAGAAGTCCTCACAATTTCATGTATCTACGACATTCTGGCCACCTCTGAAGCGCCGTAAAAGATGAAATGATGACACCTATACATTTAAATCTAATATCGGAAGCTACCAATGGTATATAAAGACCTCACTATCAGATACAGGCAGTAGTTATCATATCGTCAAATAAATCAAAAACTCAAATTTTAACTCGTCGGAAATCAATATCTCGTTGGAAGTCAATAACTTATCGGAAATCAATATAAAATGGCAAGTGAAAACAATCAAGCAGGTGCCCTTAGATAAAAAAGATGAGCCAGTTTGGAAAATAATTGGGAAATATTCCGTCCAAATCCAAAACGAAAAGGGGTCATTGGAAATACTGAAAACATGAAGTAAAATCTACAACAGCGACGTCGAAAAAGACATATCTATCGAGGGATACCTTAACAGTGGAAAGCTGAATAAAGTTCCAGACGAAATTGATGAGAGGCAGAATACTCAACGTCTACTAAATTTGGGGCTACAATCCCGAGAATAATGACGGTTAAGGCAGGCATTGTAGAATACTCCACGATATCAACAAATGTGTTTATCATAGATAAGTAATTCAAGTTAACCAAGAATGACTGGTTAAAACAGTGTAGGATAGATCTTCGGAAATAAAGAGTTGTTCATTAGTAGAAAAATTGTCGGAAAATGTTAATCAGTTCAAAAATCGACTGAAAACTTGTTGGAAATAAAGAACACTCGATTCACCAAAGGCCGTTTGACATGCCTACCGGAACCAGAACGAACTACCAGTGATAGACCTGAGAGTATACGACCTGAAGTGAAGAAGACAATAGGATAGGTGGCAGGAAATCTAGAGGCCGCTGGTCAACCGATTTATCATCTCATTTGATCAGGGTCTTTTCATAATTTACTTTATTATGCAGAGTGGACAAGTATTTCGCTGTGAAGCACACAACCTTCTGACATTGTTGAAGTAGGAGCAAGTTCTTTCTGGTGGTTTTCCTAAATATAGATGCGACAGAAAGTCCTTAATGAGAACCATATCATTATACCCTGCAAACCATCATTACTGAAACACGCCACACAATTTGCTAAATACGCTGTGTGATACAGTATACTAGTAACAGGTCGTGGATTTATTGGATTTAATGATCTTCTAGATTCTTTATTTGTGTGTTAACTTTATTCTCAAAAACACAAATATTGAAACGAGTTGTAAATCCATAGTTGTAGCACCACTAGAATTCGACCTTTTGACAGCAGACGGGGAAAGACAGAAAAAGGGGTAAAAGTATTGAGTGTAAGTATAGCAAGGGCGAGGTGCTAAACACGTGGCACATGGTCTGTCCGTGGTTTAACCTACATGTATATATGGCAAGGTGTGAAAATATGGCATGGATTTCGGCCTCTACTAGTAGTACTCCGAACAGTACTGACTGTCTATCCGAGATTGCCTATGTCTTGGTTGTTTGGCTGAAACCACAGATACATAGTTAGGACCCTCGGGTTGCATTAGGCGAGACAAGGCAAGCAATTACGAAAAACACTCGGGAGTGTCGTTAAAAGAACGTGTTCGTTTCTTATCTACATCAAATAAAAATCACGTAATAATACCAACCAGTAATGACTTTGATTGCAAATTGTATTAACACTATTAGTAAAAACATCGAAATATTAACGTAATAAAATTCTAACTCCATCCTTTAAAGTTACCAACAACCAGCTTATACTGAAAAGCTGTGACACAGAACCCCGACGATTGGTGCATCTCATGGAACCTATTGCCAATAATTAACCTCAATTTTGAAATGCTCGCAAAAGCAATAAAGCTTTAAAGGTCATTGAAATGTCATCTGGTGCATCATTAGCCTTATAATGAATAAATATGTATGGTGTACAGTTCTCTACTAAGCCTTTCACACACAATCAACTTTTTGCCACCGACAGTTTGTCAGGTCAATATCGTGTGGGATGAACACTTCCACCATAGTGTTTGGCTGCGGCAGGGTGTACCATTTGTTCAACACCGGGTTCCAACACAGGTACTGGTTGTCTGTGACGGGGATCTTCTCCAAATGGTTCCTAATGCACCACTGTATAGACTGCAAATCACTGGACCTTGCGAAGAACAACCTAATAAGTTTGAATCCTTGTTTAGAATACCGCTCCTTTCCTAGGTATAGAATTGGTCCGTGTACCAAATCAAACACACGTAGACTGTTGATAACGACACGATCCGGACCATATTCCGCAGGTGAAAATGACGGTAGTTTTCCATTTAATAACGTCAATGATAACCAAACACCAGGTGGCGTTGCTTCTCCCGTGTCTGCAATAGTATACCATCCTTTAGTGTTCTGCTTACTCCTTTCCAGCACTCCGGACGTTTCTATCGCAGCCTTGTCCCACGTGTTGTGGTAAAATAGACGTACTTCCTGCCAATCTTCATCCATATTGTCAAATCTCTGTACAGTTCTATACTTTTAGTACTAGCACACCTTCTGATAATGGTTGACATACATAGTACTTATCCTAGTGTAATGAAGAATCGATTATTGATTCCAGTTACTGCTGTATCAACAAGTGAAGTCATCACATTTTCTTTGTTTCTCAACGCTAGCACACACCCTGATCACCTCGTAGCGTTAAGATATAGGATGAACTTACTTTGTGACTTGTTGCCAAAGCAAATATAGACTGCACTTATCGTGCCATAAAACAAAATTGATGTTTGAATTTCATATCGATAGCGATGTTAAACCAATATGTAGGCCTTCTGTGCAGTAATCAATAATTCGGTATAGGTCTGGTCCACCCATTCTGTCGTACAGGGTTACAACATTACCTTACCTTAACGTTACTCCGATTATCAGATAGTTCAATATAAGTGTAAATGAACGACAGACACGTAAATTATTACCCGAATGTTTATAATACATTCAGACCTACGATTCAATAACCCTACCATGATAAAGTATCGACGATTCGAGCCAATTTCTATTTAGGTACATGTGTATACACACCTTGTCTGTGTTAGCTACCCTAGGTGTATATATATAGCTGTAGATAAAATAAGTCAATCACACAACATATCCAGGTGTACACACATACTCGATACACGAAATAACGTTGATTGGTATTGTCACTACTCACTATGCCGCTGGATCCTTCTTTTAACATTTAATTGATATAGCAATATACCCACATACTTATACGAGGTTAACTTCAGGTAGTCTTCATGGTATTGTTTTTATTGATGTTAACCACTGATAGTTAAACACACGGACATCACTGTCTAAACTACCACACTCTGTTATGATATATTTCAGCAGTGATAAAGATTAGGATGTGATATTTTATGTATCGAAACTTTAATAAAAACATGCAGGTGTCACAACATTTCATAATCATTGATAAAGTGATAGGCCCGATTGACACGTTTTGTGTGTAATCTTCCTTTGTACGTTAAAAAATATTCCTTTGGTCAGTAAGGAGATTTCACTGGTCATACGCGTAAATTTCATGGAGAGTAATGTAGATTTTCTTTGTTAGAAGTAGATTTCACAGAGTAGTAATGTGGAGCCCTCGTGCACAACATTAATTCTAATGTGAATTTCCTGAAATCCCCCAGTGTGTTAAGGTAGATTTTTTTAGCTAGAAGCAGATTTCACAATATGTTAATGTGAGTTTTCATAGATAGAAGAAGATTTCACAATGTGGTAATGCGAGTTTAGTTTTCACAGCTTGTTAATGTAGGTTTTCCTGGCCAAATGAATAGATTTCACAGTATGCTAGTGTGAATTGTCTATGCGGGAAGAAAATTTCACAGTATTGTAATGTAGACTTCCCTGGCTGCATTCAGATTTCTCATTGAGGTAATGTAGAGTTTCCTAGCAAGAAGTAATTTTCACAGCTTGTT